CCAAGTTGCCCAGGCGGGTCTCAAACCCACGGGCTCTGGCAATCCACTCACCTCAGCCTCCCAAGGCGCGGGATTACAGGCTGAGCCACCGAGCCCGGCTTCTCCAGCTTTTAAGAACACTTTCTGGAATGATAAAGGAAGACATAGTATAGGTGAACTTGGAAAACATGCCTGAAATTAATGTTAGAGTTCTGACGGCAAAGTTCCCACTGTTAATGTTATTTAACCATCCTAAAAGTATTTTTATGAGGGGCTAGTAATATCACCTAACTTCCTGCAGAATTGAGAAAAAGGTAAAGGTGCACAAATACCCAACATTCAAATAAGAGGAGCGACTTAAAAAAAATCAGTTAAGTCTTCAAAGTCAGAAAGTTGCTTTTCAGGTACTATCTCCTTCTGTGTGTGACGAGTGGGCTAGTTGCTGCAGAAGCTCTGGACCTTTACCTGATTTCCTTTTTCTCAGCTGCTTCCATGACTTCCCTGTCACTCCGACCGGCTCCCAGCTCTCAGCTCTCAGGCCAAAGCACCTGGACGATCTTTTTAAAAAGCCGATTGGCCGTCTTTCTGTATTACCACCAGCACTTCACCACCGTCAGGTTTCTGGGAAGAGGAGTTCCCTCTAGATCCTTATGGAGTGACAAATTTTGTTGCTCCTGGAATTTTTCAGACCCAAACTAGCGTTTCTACGATGGTTTATTTGGCAAATTTTTCTTGATCATAGGTGGCTGATGAGGAACGTGCTTTTATTAGAAACAAAACTGTCTTTGCAGAAGTGAGGGCGTGTAGTCAATGAACTCTAGAGGATAGAAATCAAAAGCGTGAGAACCAGACGGCCTCCCTGATTGGGGCGAAGCATCTGCAGATTAGCTCAGTGGAACTTAACGCCACGGATCTTTCATGCCGTATTTTCCCGTCTTTAGTTTTCAGTAGCAAGTGCTGGCCGGGTGTTTGCTCGAGGCTGATTCCGGCCAGATTCTACTGCAACATCCATACTTTTCAGAGTTAGAAGGTATCTTTGCAGGTTATCTATTACATTATCCAGTCTAGGAATCGCGTGTACTCCCCCACTGCCAAATTCCAGCCTTTGCTTAATTAATTCCAAAACCAGAGAACTCACTACTAGACACCAATCGGGCAGCAAGATTTGCGGCTCTCCCAAGAATCTGACCCCGGCGTCAGATTTTTAACAGAAGGGATGAGGGCCTGGGGCGAGCGGGAGGAGAGAGTCAAATCCCTTTAAAGCAGCAATCCCCAACCTTTTTTGGCATCAGGGACCGTTTTCGAGGAAAACAATTTTTCCACGGAAAAACCTGTGTGAGGGGGATGTGCAGTCAAACCTCACTGCTCAAGCTAATCTGTATCTGCAGCCGCACCCCAGCGCTAGATGGGGTGCGGCTGTAAATACAGATGAAGTTTAGCTAGCTAGCCCCCGCCGCTCACCTCGTGCTGTGTGGCCGGGTTCCTAGCAGGCCACGGACCAGTGCCAGGCCGCGGCCAGGGGATTGGGGATCCCTGCTTTAAAGTACTGAGAGACAAGAGAAGACCGAGACCCTGGTGGCATCTGGCGATCACCTTAACACAGTTGACTAGAGTACAGCAGGATGACGCCTGCGCAGTGGGTCCAAAGCCTCACCGCAGAGTGGACAGTCGACTGTCGGAGGGAAAGGCCGCTAGGTGGCAAAGCAAACAAGTACCGCGAGATTTCGAGGACCCGGATAATCCCGCCCCCAGAGCAAAGCCGGAAGAAGGCGGGACGAACCGGAAGAAGGTGAAATGCTTTGGGTAGGCACTCCATGGCTGTGAAGATGGCGGCGGCTGCGTGGCTTCAGGTGTTGCCTGCCATTCTTCTGCTTCTAGGGTCTCATCCATCCCCATTATCGCTTTTCGGTGCAGGACCGGCACCCGTGGCTGCTGCCGACAGGTCCAAGTGGCACATTCCGATGCCATCGGTGAGTGTTCACTTCAGTATTGACTAAACCTGAGGAACAAGGGGTGGGGCTACGGCGGCCTAAGGGGTCCATGAAGGTTCCGCAAAAGTCGCTTCCAAAGGGGTGGGGTTGCCGGGGTGTTCTGTATTTCTCGCCAGCTGGGACCCACCTCCCTGGAGCGGAAAGCCGCGCACTTTTGTGGGTAGACTAGCGGTGATGTCAGGGCAGCTTCAGCAGCGGAAATGAGTGGTGGAGCGGTTTCTCATCAAAGTAACAGAACTTTCAGTGCCTGACTTGAGAGAGATATAAACTTGTTGTATAGAGTGGTTTATCTTTCAGATTAAGTTTCAGTCCAGCGACTCCAGGTTGGAGGAGAGAGATATGTAAACAGGCATCTTCATTTTTTTTCCTTCCTCTGCACTTTTTTTTTTTGGTTTCTGGGTAATTCTACTTAAGAGATTGTTCAATTTCACCCAGACTTGGAAATGGTTATTCAAAGTTTTGCTATGGGTTTAGGAAGCATAAGGATTTAAAAATATATTTTAACATGGGAATGGTTAAAATGGAACCATTAGTATGCTAACATTTAATGTGGTAAGGCTAGTCTTTCATTTGGACAAGTAACTAGATAGCTTGGCCCTTTCTGCCTCTCCGTCTCTTTTAAGTGTTATGTGAGTGGGAAGTACAATCCTCTGAACGGACAAAAACAAAAACAAACAAAAAACACTTGTAGGAAGGAAATGCTGAAAAGCATTAGTCCTATTAAAACTACGTTGGCTTTTTTGTTGCATTCTGCTCTGTTCCCTGATTGTAATGCCCAAATCTTATTTTGGCTTTTAAGTGGCAAACATTATAGCTTTTATTCATTTGATAAAGATCTTCATATTCTTAGTTTTAGGTTTTGCTTGTACTAAAATGGTTAATAGTTAAGTCATTTTAGACTTAAACATAAAAAATTGGTTTGCTCACAGAATAGTTGATTTGAAAAAAATGGGCCAGAGGCGGTGTCTCACACTTGTAATCCCAGCACTTTGGGAGGTGGAGGCATGAGAATTGCCTGAGCCCAGAGGTTCAGGACTAGCCTGGGCAACTTGGTAAGACCTCATCTCTACAATAAATCAAAAAATTAGCTGGGAGTGATGGTACACCCTGTAGTTCCGGATACTTGGAAGGCAGAAGGACCTCCTCAGCCTAGCAGGTCAAGACTGTGGTGACTGTGAGCTTGCCACTGCACTCTAGCCTGGGAGACAGAGTGAAACTCCGACTTAAAAAAAAAAAAAAGATTGGTTATTTTGGGCAGCGATTTGTCAATAAATTGAGTGAACCGATTAAGGGGTACATCCAAGTCGAGTTGGGATTTCTAGCATCTTTCCTTCTGTAGTCCATTTAGTTATTCATGGTCCGTCGGGGTTGGGACAGAAATCATGCCTCTTCACTAAGGGGCATAATCCTGCAGTTTGGATATGGTCGAATTTTACTAAAAGGAAGGATGTTGATAGATGTTCTTTTTGGTTAAAATTTGAACATTTTATATGTTTTGGTAGTTATATTCTGCCTTGGAAATTAAAATGATCTGATGCTAATTATCTTTCCTTTATCTTTGCAGGGGAAAAATTATTTTAGTTTTGGAAAGATCCTCTTCAGAAATACCACTATCTTCCTGAAATGTGAGTTTTTGAGTTTCATGAAGTTTTAATTTGGGTTGTTAAAAGTTATTGGTAAACTTTGTGTATGACTTGTTTTCTATTTTTGATGGACTACTTGTAGCATATTTTTAAGTTCTGAAGTTTAATAGTTTGGCACTAAGTAAATATATTTAGTATTAACTAGTCAGGTCCTTTTACTGAATAATCTGCAGAATACTTACTTGTGTGAACTTTATTTTCTTGTTTTTCTGGTGTTTACTGAAGTACACATATACATACACTCTATATTTCATGTAGAAATATCTATTAATAGATATGTCAATTATATTAATAGATTATATATTCTGGTATGTATTTTATATTCATATATGCTACATATACTATACTGAATATATTCAATCACATCTCAGTGGAATTACATTTACAATCATGTGTTGCTTAATGATGGGATATGTTCTGAGTGATGTATTAGGTTTGTTGTGTGAATATCATGGAGTGTACTTACACTCCCAGATGGTATAGCCTAGTGCACACCTAGGCTATATGGTGTAGCCTGTTGTTTCTAGGCTAAAACCTGTAAAACATACTACTGAACTGAATATTGTAAGCAGTTGTAACACAACAGTATTTGTGTATCTAAATATATCTAAACATAGACAAGTACAGTAAAAATACAGTATTGTAATTTTATGGGACAACTATTTTTATGCAGTCCCTTGTTGACTGAAACTATGCAGCACATAACTGTGATTATGTTGATTGATTACCTTCATGGTATTTAAATCTATTCTGAGTCATAGAGATACCACTAGATGTTTATTTGTCAGACCACTGGCTCTGAAGGAATATATTTCGTAGATCTTTTATTTACTAAAGGAGTATTTTACTATCTTGGAAGAGGAAGCTCAGAGATATTATCAAGAAATAGGGATTATGTAGAACAAAACTAGTCTAGTGGGAAAACTGCTGTGTCTGAATCTAAAGTATTCCATTGTTTGTTAAAGAAGTTTTCTTTTAGTTCTGAAATTGGCTTTAATTTAGGGAATGAATGATCATAGGCAGCTTTATTTTGAGATCAGGGATAAAAATCTAGATGATCGATATGTGATTTTATGTGTACTCTCTCCATGAAAGTGCAAAATTATAAGTCATAGTTTATTCTTTCGATTGTTTAGTAAGTAGTTATTAAATACTTAATGTGTTCCATATACTGTTTTAGACAGTTGGGAAGTGGTAAAAAAATTTCCTCATTGAGCTTACAGTCTAGTGGGGGTGAAAGCAACAGCAGAATTTCTATGAAGAATGTACTATGTCCATGAATATATATATATATAATCTACTGACTAGTGACTTACATTTAATTTAAATTAGATTTACTCTGACACACTGGCCTTTCATGTGAGATTGGTTTATTAGGTAAGAGTAGCAGTTAGGAATAGCAGGATATTATCTTTTGGAATAGCTGACAGCCTGTTTGCTATTCTTTTTCTTAGGTACTGTCTTTTTCTTACTCTGTATTTTGATTAAATAGTATTTTGCCAAGTTGAACAAGCTGCATATTTTATTATTATTATTATTATTTGTGTCAGGATCTCACTCTGTTGTCCAGGCTGGAGTGCAGTGGCACAATCAGGGCTCACTGCAGCCTCGACCTCCTGGGCTTAGGTGATCCTTCTGCCTCAGCCTCCTGAGTAGCTGGGACTACAGTTGCTTATCACCATTCTCGGCTAATTTTTCTGATTTTTTGTAGAGAGGAAGTTTTGCTATGTTGCCCAGGCTCGTCTCTAACTCCTGGCCTCAAATAATCCTCCTGCCTTGCCTCCCAAAGTGCTGAGATTACAGGCGTGCGCCATCACCGCACCTGACCTAAGCAGCATATTTTAAAGTATCTAGATTTTATTGTTTTTGGAGGATTTGAGGTACCTTAAAATTCACATTATCTTTTTTTTTTTATTACTTTTGTGCTTTCTCATATTTATGAGTTGTTTCTGATTTTATGCTTTTATGGTTTGGCATATAGCTTTCCATGGAATAGGAAAGACCCTTTTCAATGTCTGTGAAAGCCTTCCATACAAAGTTCTAAATATTGTCTTTTAACATATATTGTAATACAGAGGGTGCCAAAAAAAAAGTATACAAATGTTAAGAAAGGAAAAAGCTGTATTAAAATTGTAATAATATATATATACCGATAGCAAAAGACGACTACAAGTCATGCTTGACTTCTACAATTGCAAGAGATGCTCAAAGTGATTATCATCAACATCCAGACACTTCTGATTACGGCAAACTAAAGTAATACATAGGTAACATCTCTTAAAATGTGTATACATTTTTTGGCCCTCCTGATATATTTGCAGTGAAGTTTCCCTGCAGATCTCCTGTTTAGGGGCTGTATTCACTTGATTTTAATTAATTAATCCTTTCTCTGTGGGGTGCTTCTTAATAGTTTATAGCCTGATTGCAGTATCCTTTTTATAATTTCCATAAATTCTATTCAACAGTTCAAATTTTTTAGTATACTGATAGAGTCCTGTGAAAATGTGTTTGTCATTTAAAAATTAGTTTGATAAAACAGTTTAAAACAAAGCAAAAGAGAAACTTGTAATTAGGTTGCTTTTTTTGTTATGAGCCATAAGTAGATTCCTAAGTGCAGTCATGTCTATTTATGTCATATTTGCATTAAGGTAGGGAGTCTTTAGTATATTTTCCCTTCCACAGCTGGAATCATAGATAAAAGGGAATACTGATTTCCCCTAGATAAGACAGCTTATCAGTCATATAGTTAGATTTGTACTCTGAAGTCTTCAGACTTATGCCTTGATCCATTAGCGTTCTAAACTGTGTTTAATGAGTTTTGTGAAGCTTCTATGGTTTTTTGATGTTCCTTGAGGCCTCTCTTAGTGGGCTTTGAAAAGAATCTAATACTCTTATGTATGCTTTTGCTGTTTCTGCCATCCCTAACCATGCGTGCTCTTTGTTCATTGGTCTTTCTGTTCAATTTTGGTATCTTTCAAGTTCCAGGGCATGAATTTTTCCCTCAGTGGAGCTATTATTTATACCACTAAGTAACGCTCGTTAATATTGCCTTGTGATATCCCTAATGTTGTTATTCCTTGTCTTGCCAACTAGAATGTAGCCTTTTTAAGGGTTTATTATTAAATCATCAAAATAATTTGTTCCCACCATTTCTTGGGTCTAACACTGTGCCATTGTGCCTTTGTATCCTTATACTCTGTTTAATAAATATTTGGATGATAATAGAAGATAGTTTAATTTAGGACTGCTTTATCACTCAGAGTTTTCCCTAGAGATCTGGAAGTTAGGGATTTAAGGCATAAAAATAGATCTATACTTTCAAGAGGTTAAAAACTGCTTAACGGTAGTTTTTTATGGACAGTACTTTTATCTGAATTTCCAGTTCTTTCTGTATATGTTATTCCATTACCCTGTGTTTGGAGAAGGTAGTATCTCAATTTGAGTATCTCAGTTAAGAGTAGGAAATAAATAGGATGTAGGTTAATGGTTTAGAAAACATACTTTGGCAATCATCTTTTATTCACAAAAATTTCTTTTATAGTTGATGGAGAACCTTGTGATCTGTCTTTGAATATAACCTGGTATCTGAAAAGTGCTGATTGTTACAATGAAATCTATAACTTCAAGGTAAGGAACAGATTTTTCTAGGACCTTAGTGCTCATCTGGTTCCAACCTCTTAATTTTATAGTGGAAGGGGTATCATGTAGCTCTAAAGGAGCAGAGCTGAGACTAGAATGCATGCTTTCCAGTTTGCAGATCTACTATGTCAATACTTCTCAAACTTTTTGGTTTCAGAATGCTTATATTCTTAAAAATTATTGTGGACTCCAGAAAGACTTTGATTATGTGGGTTATGCTATTAGAAATTAAAACTGAGAAATATAAAAATATGTATTATTTTAAAGTTGCAATAATAAACTCATTACATGTTAATATAAAAAGCATTTTTAGATAAAAATAACTTTTCAAAAGAATCCAGAAGAGTAGCATTGCTGGCCTTTTTGCAATTCTGTTTAATATTTGGCATAACAGAAAATCACTGGATTCTTGCATCTCTTCCTTTACTCAGTGTATTGTGATACTTTGGTTGACATATATGAAGAGCATCTGATCTCCTATAGATAAGTAGTTGGGAAAGTAAATGGTGTTTGACTAGCCTTTTCAGGTAATTGAGGATATTCTTCTTTGATTCTATACCAAAACGCAACAAGTGGAGTTTCTTAAAGTTTAGGTGCAGGGTGAGACTAAAACCTGAAATCCTATTAATGAACTATTTTTTACTCTAACACAAATCCACTAGTGTGTATTGTACTTTGAATGGATTTTTTTTTTTTCACTCTGTCGCCCAAGCTGGAGTGCAGTGGCATGCTCACGGCCACCGCATTCCCAACCTGCTAGGCTTAAGCGATCCTTCAGCCTCAGCCTTCCAAGTAGCTGGCACTACAGGCATGCACCACCATGCCTGGCTATGACTGGATGTTTTACCCATGCGTTATCTTGTAACATCATTCATTGGTCATTTAGAAAATATTGGTTGACTGAATAATATAAATCTCCTAAATATTAACTCATTTTACATTTAACTCAAAATTATATTGTTAATAACCATCCCTCTGAGCCCTCCATCTCATCATTAGTTTCTTAAGTACTGGAAGCCTTTAACTTATGGTTTAAAATTTAAAAACACAGATGCTTCACAATTTCAGTTTTCGCCAGAAAGCTCAAATTTTATTTTGGCAGTGAAGTTTGTGACTGTGAAGACTAGTACAGTTAGGTACCACTGTCTTTGTTTCTGATAAGGGCAGCAATTCTACTCACCATTAGTTTTGTGGTATCAGTGTGAGGCAAAGAGCATACTATTACTATTTTAATTTATTTTATTTTTTGAGCTGGGGGATCTCACTCTGTCGCCCAGGTTAGAGTGCAGTGGCGTGATCATGGCTCATGGCAGCCTCGAGCTCCTGGGCTCAGGGGATCCTTCTGTCTCAGCCTCCCGAACAGATGAGACTACAGGTGCTTGCTACTATGTCCAGGTAATTTAAAAATTTTTCTTGTTGGAGACGAGATCTTGCTGTGTTGCCCAGGCTGGTCTTGAATTCCTGGACTCAAGCAATGCTTCTACCTTGGCCTCCCAAAGTGCTGAAATTACAGGCATGAGCCACTATGCCCAGCCCAGCCACTGTGTCCAGCCAGTTATTTTGAAAATAGTTTTGACCACTTAGATTTTGTAAAAGGGTTCATGGACCACACTTTTGAGAATTGCCATAGTATGTGATACTCGATTCTTGAAAATATATTGCTCTGAGATGGACTTTTTGAACTTTTCCATTCTGTTTCCATCCCACTACTCGCAGTTTACATCTTTTTTTGTTGTTTGTTTTAAAGATTCTCCTGTTCTTGAAGTTTCTTTATAAAGATAATTTGGCTATTTTTTTTCCCTTTTCTTCTGAGATAGAATCCTGCTGTGTCACCCAGGTTGGAATACAGTAGCACCATCATAGCTCACTGTAACCTTGAACTCCTGCCTCATGCAATCTTCCTGTCTCAGCCTCTGGAGTAGCTAGGACTATATAGACTTATGCTATAGCTGGCTATTATTATTATTACTATTATTGTAAAGATGAAGTCTCACTATGTTTCCCAGACTTGCTTTGATCTTCTGGCCTCAAGGTGATCCTCTTGCCTTGGCCTCCCAGAGTTTTGGGATTATAGGTTTATGCCACCATACCAGGCCTGACTGGTCTTTAAAAAATGTCCATCGTTCAGTCAGTTTTTAAAAACTTAAGCATTTTGAAATCTCTGCTTTTTGTTAAGGTTTTACATCATGTTTTTTGCAGTTTTAAAAATGTGTTTGTCTTTTGCTTTTATTATATAACACTGGGTAGGATTGATATGACAGGAAGGGCTGAAGAATTTAGAGAGAACTGATAACGCCTCCAGAATATGATATGAAATTGATGACTAATTGAATTTACAGTAATAGGTTTTTACATTTAAAACTTGGGATAAGCTGGGCTCAGTGGCTCAGCCTGTAATCTCGCGCCTTTGAGAGACTGAGGTGAGTGGATTGCTTGAGCCCGCGGGTTCGAGACCCGCCTGGGCAGCGAGACCTCATCTCTACAATAAATCAAAAAATCAGCCGGGGTGGTAGCACATGCCTGTAATTCCGGCTACTCGGAAGGCTGAGGCGGAAGGATCGCCGGAGCCTAGCAGGCGAGGCTGCGGTGGCCGGCAGCGGCTACTGTACTCCACTCTGGGTGACTGAGTGAGACTCCAACTCAAAAAAACAAACAAACAAACAAACAAAAAACTTGGGATAAACTGGTTAGAACTTAGCAGATCCTGCCTTCATAGTGCAAATTAAGAATGTTAAAATTGGGCCGGGCTCAGTGGCTCAGCCTGTAATCCTGCACTTTGGGAGGCCGAGGTGAGTGAATTGCCTGAGCCTGCAGGTTTGAGACCCGCCTGGCCAACTTGGTGAGACCTCATCTCTACAATAAATCAAAAAAATTAGCCTGGCATGGTAGCGTGCGCTTGTAGTTCCAGCTACTTGGAAGGCTGAAGCGGAAGGATCGCTGGAGCCCAGCAGGTCGAGGCTGTGGTGGCTGGGAGCATGCCAGTGCACTCCAGTCTGGGCGACAGAGTGAGACTCCAACTCAAAAAAAAAAAAAAAGAATGTAAAAATTGTTTTCGATTGCCAAAGGATAAAAATATGGAGATAAAAACAGGTGGTTGGAGATGTGTGATATTGGAGCTTACAAAAAAGAGGGCAAGACTACAGATGTGGGATGAAAGAAAAAATCACAGAACTGTTAGGTGAAACTACAGACATGATGAGTTTTTGAGAGGCAGCAATGAGCTGAAAATGGCTACAACAGTCTTATTAAAACTTTCTAACTTATGAACATGAGATTGTCTTTTTGGTGATGATGTTAATTTGACCAAGTAAATCTTTTTATTATATTTTCATGTGACAAAATTGTTTAAACTCTGGCAGCTTCCCAGTCTTCCCAGAATTGTTAGAGGCCTCTACCCTTTGTGATCCAAAGACTAGAAATCTATACTTTAGTTTAATAATGCTAGACTTTTGGCTGTTGTTATATAGAGTCTTTATTAGATGCTATAATTTTTAAAAGTAGAAAACCCAATAGCAAACTCAAAATTATATTTGTACTATAAGCTGTTGTCCTTTAAGTATCTTTTTTTTTTTCTTTTGAGTCAGAGCATCACTCTGTTGCTCAGACTGAGTGCAGAGGCATGATCACAGCTCCCCATAGCCTTGACCTTCTGAACTCAGGAAATCCTTCTGCTTCAGTTTCCTGAGTAGCAGGGACTATAGGCACATACCACCATGCCTGGCTATTTATTTATTTATTTGTATTTTTTTATAGAGATGAAGTCTTACTATGTTGACAAGACTGATCTCGAACTCTTGATTTTAAGTAATCCTCTTGCCTCGGCCTCCCAAAGTTCTGGGACCAACCTAAGTATCTTATTTTTAAAAAAATAAATTAAATACTTTGTATCTTCTCTATTTTTCCAGGCAGAAGAAGTGGAGACATATTTGGACAAACTTAAGGAAAAAAGAGGCTTATCTGGGAAATATCAAACATCATCAAAATTGTTCCAGAACTGCAGTGAACTCTTTAAAACACAGGTAATCTTTGAAAGTGATTGGCAGGAAATAGAAAAGGTAAAAAATGTAATGTCTGCGTTTTTGGCTATATCTGTTTCCCACTCCTCAATTATTTCTTCTGCAGAAACAGATTGGAAGCATGTTCTCATAGGTGCACAGTCAGCCACTTACATAGTCATCTCATTAAAGAGAAGATGTACTTTCCTTTGAATATAAAAAGAAAACTCCCAAATTTTTTTATTGTGGCAAAATATACATATGAAAGTTACCATTTTAATCATTTTTAAGTGTACAGTTCAGTGACATTAAGTACATTCACGTTGTGCAGGCATCATCCCATCCCCAGATCTTTAATCATTCCAAACTGGAACTTTTTACCCATTAAACAGTAATTCCCCATCTCCCACCCCTGGTAGTTAGTGACCACTATTCTACTTTCTATCTATGAATTTGACTATTCTAGATACCTCATATAAGTAGAATTATACAATTTTTGTTCTTTTTTTTTGTCTGACTTCTTAGTGTAATGGTTTCAAGGTTCCTCCATATTATAGAATGTATCAGAATTTCATTCCTTTTTAAGGTTGAGTAATACTTTGGTTTATATATCTCTCTATATATCTATATATATGTGTGTGTGTGTGTGTATACCACATTTTATTTTTCCATTCATCTGTCAATGGACATTTGAAACCTCAGATTTTTAATTATCTTCTCACCTCATCTGATTGATACAGTCCCAGAAAAATCAGGATTTTAAAGTTTTACTGCTACAGATCCGAAGTCAAAAGGTTATCATCACTATCTTATGATTGAATTTCACATCTTATTTTGTGAAAAGAGGAAGCTATGAATAACACTATATTTTTAATGCTTATATATATGTAATCATATAAATGGAGATTCTGATATGAAATTCTCTTGTCTTAGAAATATCTAATGCCAATTTCTTGTTAGAAAAATTTTAGATGTGTTATTATAACTATAGTCTTTACTTAAAAATTGCTTTGGAATATTTAACAAATTACCTTGAACTGGAAAGCAGCTCATAGTTTGGCTAATAGAAGTAAAGTTTATTGATGTAGATGAGGTAGTTGATAATTGATGTAAGGGTTCAGTTCTTGTTATAACGTAGATTTTATGGACTTGGAGGAAAAGAAGATAACTTTAAAATGGTGGAAGTATGGTAGAAAAAGAAAGCTAGAAACAATGCAATGCTGAATAGTTTGTATATATTCTATTGGTTTTCCAAATTTGTCTCTCAGGCTGGAAGGATTGGTTGGTGTTTCTTAGATTTGATTATGAAAGCTCCCTGTAGTATCATGTTGCCTGAGGTTGACTACGGTTAAATCTGCTATAATCTTTCCTGCATCTTAGCCTTTTGGTAAGGTTTCTTCCTCCACTGTAACAGTTTAATTATACGATATAATTGTTCATTTACCACTACCTGGTAAGAAAGGTAATTAGTTGTAGTTTTTTTATGGACATGGAGTGTGGTGTAGTAGAAAGAACAGTGGACTTAAGTGTCAAGAATCTTAGGTTCAAATCTCATTTCTTTGTTTAAAGCTTTACAGCTTTGAGCTGCATTTTCCTCCTCTGTAGAATGAGGGACAGTTATTCTACTGTTATGTCTAAGACTTTGTCATTCTTAAATATTCATTATTCTCATAGAAAAATGAATAACCAGTATGGTTTGATATTATTTTTTAGTTCTCAGCAGAGTTTTACTCACTTCTTTGTGGTGAACTGGAAATCTTTTGTCTGTTGATGCTGTACTTTTATATTTACTGTTATAGTGTTTGTTTTAACCATTTCTGTGTAGTCTGAGGTTCATGTTTCTTTTAGTATTTATATATCTTTAATTTTAGTTTTATGTTTCTTTTATAGAGCTTTTCTGGGGAGTTTATGCATCGGCTGCCTCTTTTAGGAGAAAAACAGGAGGTAATGTTTTCCTTATATATTTCTGAGAGTACAGTAACAATTTTGGTGACATGGGAGCTGCCAGTGCTTACTGTATCACTGGGAGGGAGCACCAAGCCTGGGGAGTAGGCTGAGGTTTGGCTGGAGGAGCACAATTAGTTTTTAAAAAATCTGAATTCTTCTTTTTTTTTTTAATTTTTAAAGGCCAAAGAGAATGGAACAAATCTTACCTTTATTGGAGACAAAACTGTAAGTATATCCAGGAATTTGGAGCACTGAACACATATTTTGGTTTTCTTATGTTCATGTATTTTTGAATTATTCTTTCAGTATGGTAACAATTAAAAAGAAAGTTAAGATTTGAAGCTGTATACCAAAATGTTAAAAATGATTATCTCTGGATGATATTATGAGCGATTTTTCTTTTCTTCTTTGTGTTTTCTTTATTTTTATATTTTCTAAAATAAATCTGTATTCCTTTTATAATTGCCCCCGTATAAATGTTTGTAAACAGGAAGAAACTTATTAAGCTCTATCTAAAATTATCTGTGATAGGATATAGCTAGAAGAGAGTTTGGAAAATTGAAGTAAGATTGAAAGCTATAAATATGCCTTACATTTCCACAAATACACACTATTTGGGTACTTATTTCACTTTCTAACTCATAATAACTAATTTCTCAGAATGTTCTCAGTTAAAAATAACTGGACTCATGTTGGGTCATGGTTTTTACAAAACTGATTAAGATTTTAACTTTATGAAAATTTTGTTAAGCTAATTCCTAGTTGACCCTGAGTTATCTCTGAGTCAGGTCAGATAAAGGCAAGCCCTGAGAATGGGACTTTTCAGCAGTCTGCCAGACACCTCAGGCAATTGGTTTTTTAGGGACCTTCAAACCCGAACCCCCCCCCCACCGTGGTTGCCAAGATGCTATTTTTCATAACTGTTACGGTTTCGAGATTTTGGTTTCTTGGAGTTTGGGAGAAAGGGGTGGGATTAGGATGAGAAAAAACATTATGACTTGCTTTTCTTGCCTAGATCGAACTGTTTTTCTTGAAGAAACACGTTTTTAATTATTGAAAACTTTAGCTAATTTCCAAAGTTCCAAAAAAAGTTGATTTTGATAGTTTCTGCTGGTGTTTTCGTTGCTTTTATGGATGAGTGGATTTTCAGAGGTCCTTATTTTGTCATTCTGGAAGTGTTCCTACTTACCCTAATTTAAGCTGTACAAAATTTTAGCATGAAAATAAATTAGGCATGAAAGTCTTCATTAATTTTTTTTCAACAAAGGATATCAATGGGTTTTTTCTTATTACTAATATGTATATTCACTCTCAAAGATTCAGAAAATATATATAAATAAAAGAAGAAAATAACTATCTCTAATACCAGATATAAAAATATTATAAATATAACAGGCAAAATATACAATATATGGTTATATATAAATCTATATATTATATTAAATATATAAATACATATTTGTATTATATTTAATATTTATATTATATATCTGGTATATTTTGTCTGTGGGCATATTTATATTTAACTTATTTTATTTTATTTTTTTTTGAGTTGGAGTCTCACTCTGTTACCCAGACTGGAGTGCAGTGGCCGCTCCTGGCCACCGCAGCCTCGACCTGCCGGGCTCTGGCAATCCTTCCGCCTCAGCCTTCCGAGTAGCCGGAATTACAGGCGTGTACTACCACACCCGGCTAATTTTTAAAATTTATTGTAGAGATGAGGTCTCGCCTGCCCAGGTGGGTCTCGAACCCGCGGGCTCAGGCAATCCACTCACCTCAGCCTCCCAAAGGCACGGGATTGCAGGCTGAGCCACCGAGCCCGGCTTCAACTTATTTTTAAAAGGGAATCTTACAGTATATATTATATGACAGCTTTTTTCTTGTAGCTTAGTAATAGTACATGGACATTTTTCCAGTTCAATAAATGTTGTATAGCATGATTATTATTACTTAAATGTCCACATAGTGTCTTGTATGCATACATTGCAATTTGTTAATAAATTCTCTATCCTTGGACGTTTATGAGTTTCATCACCTTGCAATTTTAAACAGTGCTATGATGAATATTCTTGTAGCAACATTTGTTTTTAAATCTTTGTTTTCTGACTTCAAAAGGTAAACATTTTTGGCTACAACTTAAAAGTAAAAATCCTTTGTAATTTTATTTGGTAATAGTTTTAGCAGTCTAGTGTGATTACATAGAATATGTACATATTAACCAAAATAAAATATGATGTCATATCTGTATTTTCTTTTTACTACCAAATAGTTACATTGAGCACCACTTCACTTTTTCATGGCTGCATAGTGTTCCAGTTTATCTTTTTTTTTTTTTTGAGTTGAGGTCTTACTCAGTCACCCAGACTGGATGGAGTACAGTGATACCACAGCCTTGACCTCCTGGGCTCATGCGATCCTTCTGTCTCAGCCTTCTGAATAGCTGGTACTCTAGGTATGCACCACCATACCTGGCTAATTTTTAAATTTTTTTGTAGGTCTTGCTATGTTGCCCAGGCTGGTCTTGAGCTTCTGAGCTCAAGCAGTCTGCCTACCTTGGCCTCCTCAAGTGCTGGGATTATAGGTGTGAGCCACTTCTGGCCCAGTTTATCATGATTTTTATAACTAACTTACAATTGGTATACATTGGATTGTTTCTAGGTTTTCACCATTATGGATAAGGTCATGTTCATAATGTCCAGCTATATCTTTGTGTACACTTATAATATTTAGGTCAAATTCCTGGACATAGAATTGCTGGATCCAAATGCATACAGTTTAAAAGTTCTTTGTGTATGCTTTGCCAAAGTGCTCTACAGAGTCGTAGCAATTTGTGGTCCCAAGAAAGTTAGAATGAGTGTCTTAGTTCCTTGTGTTGCTATAAAAGTCTACCTGAAGCTGGATAATTTATAAAGAAAAGAGATTTATCTGACTTATGGTTCTACAGGCTGTACAAGGAACATGGAGCGAGTATCTGCTTCTGGTGAGGGCTTCAGGCTGCTTCCACTCATGGCAGAAGGCAAAGGGGAGATGGTGTGTGTAAGATCACATGGCAAGAGAGAAAGAGAAAGAGGAGAGGGAGATGCCAGGCTCTTTTTAACAATTGCAGGAACAGATAGAAGGAGAATTTACTCATTACTGCCAGGACAGCACCAGGCCATTCATGAGGGATCCACTCCCGTAACTCAAATTCCTCTCATTAGGCCCCAGACTTTAACATGAGGTGGGACAAATATCCAAACCATAGCAATGAGTTTCCATTTTTCTTCACAAAAAATGACTGCTATCATTTACTTTATTTATTTATTTTTTTGAGTTGGAGTCTCATTCTGTCGCCCAGACTGGAGTGCAGCGGTCGCTCGCGGCCACCGCAGCCTCGACCTGCTGGGCTCCGGCGATCCTTCCGCCTCAGCCTTCCAAGTAGCTGGAATTACAGGGCTGCTGTCATTTAAAACAGATTTTATGCAGTTTGCCTTATTAAGCAATAATTTGTTGTTATAAATTGTATTTTAATAATTATTGTTGAAAGTTAACATTCATTTATATACATATTGACTGTTTGTAATTTTGCGTTCTTCAGTTATCTTCGTGCAATGCATACCTTGAGTTCTCTCAAGATTTGAACTCTGTTCCTAGTGATTAAAGCTAGCTGAAAGATGACCCTGTTGATATTACTGCAAGTAATATTTAGAAATAGGATATTGTCAAAAGAAGTCAAATAATTATCTATACTTTGATTTTTTTTTCCTGAAAATTGGACCTGAGGTAAATGCTGTATAATCCTGTTTAAAGGGTGTTCACAAGCTCAGTACTTCCACCTTTTATTAAAGCTCTGATAAAACATATATGCTTGTGGAAGGAAGGTCCTCTACCTCTCCTTCCCCTAAGAAAAGATGGATACAAGAGACCACTTTAATATTTTGAAAAACTTTAGTTTGATTTAAGTAGTAATGTGATACATTAATTTTTTTTAAAAAAATTAATAGGTATTTTTTAGAGCATCTTTAGGTTTACAACAAAATTGAGCAGAAAGGACAGAGAGGTCCCACATATTCCATTCATACCTGTATACTCAGCCTCCCCCTCCTTCAACATACTGTACTACTGTGGTACTCTTGAAAAATTGATGAAGTACTTTGACATGTCATTAGCAACCAAAGCCCATACATTAAGGTCCACTCTTTGTGTTGTACATTCTATGGGTTTTGGTATATTATAACATTTCCACCATTATACTATCATACAGAATACGTTAAGTGCCCTAAAAATCCTTTGTGCTCTGCCTGTTCATCTCTTTCTTCCCCCTAAACTGACAATCACTGATCTTTTAATTTCTTCATACTTTTACCTTTTCCAGATTGTCATCTGGTTGGAATCATACAAATATTTAGGCTTTTCAGATTGACTTCTTTCACTTAGTAAATACATTTAAGGTTTTTCCATGTCTTTTTATGACTTGATAACTCATTTTCTTTTTAGTGCTGAATAATATTCCATTGTTTGGATATACCACAGTTTATCCGTTCACCTATTGAACGACATCTTGGTTGCTTTCAAGTTATAGCAATTATGAATAAAGCTGCTGTAAACATTTGTGTGCAGGTTTTTATGTGGATATGAGGTTTCAACCCCTTTGGAAAAATACAAGGGGGTATGATTGCTAGATTGTATGGTCAGAGTATATTTAATTTTGTAGCCATTATGATTTTGACAGTGCAGTGCTGAATAAGAAATGGACCATTTTGTGAACCTTTGTAGTCTGTCTTTCTGACAGCATCAGTAATTAGATTACCACATGCAACTTTAATTATTTTATCTTACTGATGGTTTTTTTAAAAATTCTGTTGAAGGGGACCTACAATTTTGAGACAATATCATTAAGACAGCATTTTAAAAATAGTTCTATTTATAGTCTAGCAGTAGACCATGAAAAAAGAAAATTAATAATTCTGTTAAGGAGAAGGAAATAATTAGTAGTTGAGATGGTAGTTAAGAGTACAAACTCTGGGGTCAGATATCCTAGATTTTATATTCCCAATTCACACCTTAATACATCTGGAAAAATTATTCTCTTGTGCTTCAGTTTCTTACATGGTAAAATGTAATACTACTAGAAGTGATGCCACCAAGAATTGTGGAGTAAAGATAGCCGGATCTCTATGTCTTCACAGAAGAAACCAACAAGCTGGCAGACTGTCACACTCAACTTTCACAAAGCTTTGGAATCTAGTAAAAAACTTAAAAGAACAAGCAAAAAAACTTATTGAAAAAAACCTACAGCATTGTGTTAAGAAAGTACTGTAGTGTTTTAAATTGCCTGTTTACCATCCCTGCCTTCCCAGTTCAGAGGTAGGAAGATGGCACCTTGCAATCATAGTGCAGATTGCTAGTGCAAGAAAAACTCATATGGATCTTATTCTTAAAAACTTGTGGTTGTGTGTTTTGGCCTGGGTGGCTCCCTTTAGGACCTGTGTAAAGACTTGTCTTTGTTTCGCCCAACTTAGAGCATTCATAGGATTGGGGTGACTTCTAGGGTGGTGTTTGCCAAAAGCATTTAAAGGCAAAAATATTGGCTGCATAAGGAAAAGGATAACAGTGGGGACAAGTGATAGACTGACAAGCCTGGGAAGGAAAAGTTCTGGAAAGGAGATATATGGCAGAACAAGGGCTTTTAAAAGCTCCTGTATGTACTGGGGAATTGAGAAATCCATGTGCACATTCTCAGGATAGATATATGCTCAGAAAAGACCTTAGGTGACCCTACTCTTTAATTCTTGCTGAACTTCAGCCTCTGCACAAGCAGAAAGTGAAGACTAAGGAAGGGCTTTAATTGGTCCAGCTAAGTGTTGAATGATTGCCCCAGTCTACAAAGACGGGGAGAGCATTTTTTCCCTTTTGACTTCTCTTGTTTTAGGAAATCTTTGTCCAAACACTGATTGACCACTAAGCTAAAGGAACACAGCTTCCAGTAGCTACACAGAACAAAGAATACAGGTTTTACAAAAATAGTTTAGAAAAATCACAAAACAGTAACAACCCACATCATTAGCTAACAAGCCTCAGGGGATGGGACAGATTCTGGTTTCCAGAGTTGCCACGTTATATTAAAAATGTTCAGTCTTCAGTGAAAAATTATAAGGCATGAAAAGAAACAAGAAAGTGTGGCACATTTACAGGAGAAAAAAAAATAATAGAAAGTACCTCTGAGGAAGCCTAAACATTAGACTTACCAGACCAAGACTTTAAATGAACTGTCTTAAATACATGTATACTCAAAGAGCTAAACAAACAAACAAAAAACAGGGATGAAAAACTAAAAGAAACCAGGAGAACATAGGGAGAGATAAAAATGTTAAAAAGAACAAAGACAAATTAACAGAGTCCAAAAGACCCTTGGGATACCTTCAAGTGCTTCAACATGCATATAATAAGAATTCAAGAGGAGAAAGAGACAAATAAAGGAATGTAAGAATATTTGAAGAAATATGGCCCAAACTTCCTAAATTAAACAATTGAGAAACTCACAAAGCTCAAACTCCAAGCATAAACAAAATGTTGTGTGTTCATAAAATGGAATATCATTCACCCATAAAAATAAATTACTGTCCTTGAAAATGTAATGTTAAATGAAAGAAGCCAGACACAGAAGGCCTCATATTTGTGATTCCTTTTAAGTGAAATGTCCATAATAGACAATTCCATGGAAGGAAGAAGCAGATGAGTAGTCATAAGTGGTTGAGGAGGGAGAGATGAGGAGTTATTGCTTTTAAGGAGTACAGAGTCTTCTTTTGGGATGATAAAAATGTTTTTTAACTAGCTAGAGTTAATGTTTGTACATTATGCATGTTCCACATGCCAATGAATTATGCATATTAAATTTATGAATTGTATGTTAGGTGAAATTTAGTTTAAAAAGGAGTTAATAGTACCTATCTGATAGAGTTGTTGTGAGGATTAAAGAATGTAATACATGTTATATACCTAACAGAGTACCTGACATATAAATACTATTTTTACAGGTTCAAAATCTCTACAGGTTCTATTTTTACAGGTTCAAAATCCAGGGTTAAATGTAAACTTTTTCAAATCCTGAAAGATAAGAATTAACCAATTTCTATTGGAATTTGTAAGAGGTGATTTTAAGATATATAAAATTAATAGCTGAGCAGCTTATTACATCAAACTTTCATTGTTTAATGAGCAAGTAAGTTCAGGAAAGGTTTAGTAGTTACAGTTAATGGGGCATGTGATACTCATAACTTTGACGCTATAAAGTTTTCTCACAAACCACTTCTGAGTCTTGTCAGAGAGACTGTTTATTAGGCAGAGATAAATCACTGTATGATTTAGCATGGCATTTATCTGTAAGTTACTAAGGTAACCTGGTAAATAGATAGCTGAAGAATCATTTAATCTGTTTTGTTTGACACTTTGGATTTTTTATCATGGAGTATAATTTTTGACCTGCTTAGTTTTTCTTAGGTTGTAGAAGATTTTAATCATTTGAGAAAAGCTGTAGCTCCACAGGAAAATACATAAACCTACAAAAATCTGTTGTCCATTTTGAGGGGTTCTATGGATCAGTGAAGCTTTCCTAGCAATCTCTGGATAAGTTTCTCCTTTTAAGACCAGATGGTAAGAAGTTGCAGTTCTAAGTAGCAGTACCTCCTTTCACATACAAGGAAGAAGAAACAAGTGCTTTGCTCTGTTCATCTTTATTGTTGTATCTTAGTCTTGTGTTTGTAAAAACTAGTCTATGTGGAAAGGAGTCGTCACTGCGCCCCCCACAGTCAAGAACTCGAAAACTGTTAATTTGTCTTCCTTGACTTTGTGGAGCAATGACACTTGCTTTCCATATAGACTAGCCCGAGGTTAAAACTTTAGTATAAATGTAAGACCGTGTCAGCAAGAATTCTGGTAGTCTTGAAAAGGGAGTTGAACAAAGGGAATTAAATTCAGTAATTGGTGCTTATAATTCATTTTACCGGCTGGGCACAGTGGCCCATGCCTGTAATCCCAGCTCTTTGAAAGGCAGAGGCGGAAGAATCACTTAAACCCAGTTCGAGACCTGCCTGGGCAGCACAGCAAGACTCCATCTCTATAAAAAATACAAAACTTAGACATGTGTGGTACAAAACTTAGACATGCCTATAGTCTCAGCTACTCAAGAAGCTGAGGCAGAAGGAGTGCTTGAGCCCAGGAGTTTGAGGCTGCACTCTAGCTTGGGCATCAAAGTGAGGCCCTATCTCAAAAACAGAAACAAAAAAATCAATTTTACTGATATAATCATGGATTTTTATAGGTGATTTAAATAATTCTTAGTTTAACAGCCAGCTGTGATGGCTCATGTCTGTAATCCCAGCACTTTAGGAGGGCAAGATGGGAGAATCACTTGAGCCCAGGAGTTTGAGAATGGCCTAGACAACATAGCGAGAACTTGTCTACAAGAAAAAAAAAAATCAGAAAAATAGGCCGGGCGTGGTGGCTCAAGCCTGTAATCCCAGCACTTTGGGAGGCCGAAGCAAGAGAATTACCTGAACTCAGGGGTTCAAGACCAAGCCTGGGCAGCTTGGTAAGACCTCATCTCTGCAGTAAATTAAAATATTAGCCAGGCGTGACAGTATGTGCTTGTAGTTCTAGCTATTTGGAAGGCTGAGGCAGAAGGATTGCCTGAGCCCAGCAGGTTGAGGCTGTAGTGACCATGAGTGTGCCACTGTACTCTGGCCTGGGTTGCAGAGTGAGACTCCAATTAAGCAACAACAACCAAAATAATTGGAAAAATAAGCTAGGCGTACATGGGGGTGCATGGCTATAGTCCTGGCTGAGGCGGAAGGATCACCTGAGCCCAGGAGGCGAAGGCTGCTGTGAGCTGTTATCATACCACTGCTCTCCAGCCTGGGCTACAGAGTGAGACCCTGACTACAAAAAAAAAAAAAAAAAAAGAGAGAGAGAGAAGAAAGTCATTTTACTTACGTAATCATGGATTTTTGTAGATGTTTTAAGTAATTCTTAAACGGCCTGGTGCAGTGGCTTGTGCCTGTAATCCAAGCACTTTGGGAGGCCAAGGTGGGAGGATTGCTTGAGAGTTCAAGATCAGTCTAGACCTTGTCTTTACAAAAAAGTCATCAGTTGGATGTGGTAATAGGCACCTGTAGTTCTAGCTACTTGGTAGGCTGAGGCAGAAGGATTGCCTGAGCCCAGGAGGTTGAGGCTGCAGTGAGCGTGATCATGCCACTGTACTCCAGTGTGGACAACAGAGTGAGACCCCCAACTCAAAATAAACAAGTAAAATAAAATAAAATCCTTAGTTTATTCTTGATGTCTTTGTAAAACAACCTGGTATCCTTATGTGACTTAAACAGAGATTCAATTTAGTGATTTTTTTGTTTTTTGGTTTTTTTTGAGTTGGAGTCTCACTCTGTCGCCCAGACTGGAGTGCAGT